AGTCGATGGTCCGGTGACTCTTGAGTTTATAGGCCAGGCGCCGAGCTCTACACCGCATCAACGGCACTCTGGAACAGAAATGGCGGCGACACAAGCCGATGGCTATACACAAGGTTTTGAGAGTCAGCGGGTGTCGCTAGAGACGATTCGCGCTACCGGACCCGTGTCCGACCGATCCGATATCATCATATCGATATACGGTGCTCATGTCGAGAAAATGGTGCAGCGCTTGAAAACTTACGAGTTTCGTGCTTGGGAGATCCCCGAGTCCGTTTGTCGCGTCTGGATATATATCACGAAGCCTACCAGCGAGTTGCGATACATGTGTATATTCGGGTCTCCGAAGAGACCGGGCGAAATCGACAGGAATGGCATCGGCAATGTTGATTTCAACGCGGGGAAGAAGACATCCGCCAAATATGCCTACGAGGTCCAGCACATGTACGAGCTGAACGACCCTGTATCGCTCGAGCTCATGAGACAGAACGGCTGGCCAACGGCGCCGCAGAAATACGCATATGTCCCTCCGGCCATTGTCGGTCAACTCACATCTAACCTCAGATGTGCCCTCTGGGGAGAGGAGACGGAGGAGCAGAGTATCATTCCAAGTAGCCCTGTCGTTACCGAGTCGCAGGAGCTCGCGGATCAGATCCGAAGCGACATTGACCACGCGACTCAGTTGGGATCTTCTGAGCATGCTGATATCATCCCTTCGAGCCCGTCGCCTCGCACAACTGTAACGAAGAGAGGCACTCCACGAGACGGCAACGTTTTCGCTCGACCATCATTTCCACAGGCCCATCCCGCCTCCTCGGGCCATACCTTGCCAGGGTCACGTAGCCATAGAAAACGCGGTCCCATCCGACCATCTCAGGCTACGACTGCTAGCCAGGTATCATCGTCCAGTCCGATCATGTCTCCTGAGAGATCCGCACATCTACCCCCGTTGAGGCAGAACCAGGCAGTTTCTGCCCGACTCTCGGACAACAGTAGCCCCGGTGCGCATCGCCATAAGCAGCAGCATTCCTTGAGATCGTCCCAGTTCCCTACCAGAAGCCAAATGTTGCCGGATAGCTTGCTGAATGACGACGTTCAGCAGCCGCCCTCGATCATATGGGATTCGGCGGATGAGGATTCGGAGTAAGGAAGGCATTATCATTGTGCATGGCTAGCGAATCCGTCAGAGGATTGTTGTATCACGAGCATGATGCACACTGTCAGATTGTGCCGAGAGTGATTAGATTCAGGGGCAACGGTAGCTAGGCCAAGCCTGCATTTAGATCTTGTAACGAGGCAATTGACATCGATATTGATCCAATGTATCAACTTCTTATGTGGTCCCAGATTCTTGTCTGGCCATTACCTAGAACCTGTTTTCACCACTGTGTTGTCTCCGTCCTTCTAGCAGCAACAGGCCATTTGGCATTGCAAACGAATGCAGGCATCTTCTTCTCGACGATGGCTGCCGAGGCTCCCCAAGTTTACTGCCCAATAATCCCCTTTCCACCTTCACCCACCACTCACTCTACCTTGTGCTACTCAGTAGCATGTGGTAGCTACCATGATCGAATGAGAATAGATGCGCTCATAGTGATATACGGTATTGTACCACGTCATCCCATTTCGGTGACTTGGTCATCGCTGCAGTCGTGTCATTGAATGATTGTGAGGGCATGACCGCGTGGTACCCGAGGATGGCTGCCGAGTCTACAACGACGCGGAAGATAAGAATGCAGAGGGTCCGTGGTCGTCAGCCATGATCAATCAGCATAGGTTGAGACCGAGTATGTGTTCTTGGTGACCACCGTAGTTGTACCGCCTAACTCGGCTTCGAGCAGGGTTACGTATTCCGTCGGCACTGACGTCGGATACAATTGAATCTGAGCCAGCGACGAACGAATATCGAACCGCCGTGAACAGGATCCTGTTCTACTGTCGCGAAGGCAGCCTTTACCAACATATGAACGGCGTTGCTCTAAGGATGGAGGCGCGGCGTCGTACAGTTTTCTTTTACGCACAACTCGCCCAACACGTTTGACCCACGTATATATCCATGCCATCCGCGCCAGACTTGTCCCCGTTCATGACGCGAGATATATATAAGGGGTTCATCCGGCAACATCATGGTAGATAAGATATGTGCAGGCAACTGTCTGAATTCTCCCTATAGGCCGATTATAGGAAACCATGGCCGAACAGGAATACTTAGGGACAACGAAGCCTCCGAGAGAACGCCCCTCGTTGGGAACAACGTGGAGACATGACCACGAGCTCTCTCCTCCGTTGCCTCGATGCAAGTTTTCAAGTGTTCCGCAGCTCATGACCCGAGCGTGATACTGACAATTTTCTGCATTATCAAATGCATTGCAGTCCTCCCGCGGGGGAGGGGACTTATTTCCAGCCGGTCACGCGCATATTTGAAGATATCCTCTGCCGCCAGTGTTACGACCAGATGCAGAGCCTAGAAGAACTAGTTGATGAAGACATGTGCAAGATCGATACCCTGCAGTCGAAGTTGGCCTACCTCTTCGCAGTTGCTGCAGCATAGGAGGCCAGTATGCGTAGTCTCTTGGTGGTTCCATGGAGCTTCCTTGCGGATCGATAGTTCTCTTAGACCACGAAGCGGACTTTTTGTTCTGACCCTTCATCATAAGTATTGGTAGAAAGCCGGTTTTCGGCCTCAACTCACTAGATATTGCCTTTTCAGCACTGCTTCCAATCGGCTTAGGCTGGGACAACAAGTTAACAGTCCATCGCCGCTGGGCCTGCTCGTCGGAGGCAGGTAGAATACAATGTGCGTCGTAACAATTCAACGTCGCTGACAGCGTCACAGGCAACACAGTCTTAAGTAGGTCTCTGTTTCGCTTGATGTCGGATGTTCTCCCCGGAATCTGAAAGTAACGAAGATGAGGAGTCACCGCAAGGTGCTTCCTAAGCTAGCCGGGAAGATGATTCGCCCTTGACTTATCTACGGTTCTCATGGACTACACTAGGTTACATCATGCTGAGTACACACAGGTCTAGCCCGTATGAGCTGAAGCCATCTGGGTTGGACGCGGCTTGGACTGAAAGTAGACAATCAATGCCCTTCGTCGGCGGTACAATCTTCGGCTACCAGTCTGACTGTGCGCAATTGTATGCAATATTCAGTGAGTGAGCAGTAACATCCCCCGTATAGGAAAGTTGCTTTTACTCCTCGGCCACCTGTTCATCGTGGCTTTCTTCGTCTGAATCATCATCATCGAAGTCTGGATCCGGCATGACTACGTTATTTAGGAAAGTAACCTTAGAATGTTAGCTCTAGCTACGTTGGATTGGTGCCCGCCATGACATACGTATTCCACCATGGGTCTGATGATGGCCATAATCCTGTCCTGAGCATCTCCACCAGTCAGTTCCGAGTCGTCGATCTTTCTTCCGACCGTATAGTTGCGCAGCTTCAGGAGCTCAATATCTCGATGTTCGGGGTGGAAGCCCTTGTGTGGTCAGCATGTAACACATAGTAGACAGGCACACATTATGAAACTACCTGCGGCTTCGTTTTCAGAGCATTTTCCTTGTTCGACTCCGCAAAGGCGGCGAGGACGGACTCCTCGTCATTCTTTGCCTCGGGTAGAAAAGCCCTTCGAAATTCAGGGTTCATCAGGACCTGGCGTAACCTTTGTGGTCTCTCGTCAATGTTAGCACGAAGTCTCGCCAGAGCATCTTTCTGTGGATGCCAGAGACCACCGCCAACGAAACAGCTGCCCGGTTCGCAGTGCACATAGTAGCATGCGTAAGGACCTTTCCTGCCGGTTCTCGACCTGGATCCAATGAGATAAAGGGGCGGTAAGTGCAATCGAGGTGGCAACCTACCATGCAGCTGAATAGTGCGGCTGGTACAAGTCAGAAACCTGGTCGGTGCTGAAGGGAACGGCTGGGGTGATATTTACCTTGTATGGAGTTGGATCCTTGCTGAAGCGTCTGCAGGATGTCAGCGGTGGGATGCAGGCAGAATACCGACCGTTAGAAACCCGAAGCACCTACATGTCACGGTAGATTCTGAAGATGACGTCCTTCAGCGGTAGCTCAGGGATGGTCTCATCAGCCCCGATGACCTCTTCAGTGAGTGTTTCGACGAATGACTGCCAGTCCTACATGATAAATCAGTTTCTCCACGGAAACGACTAGACATGCATGGTCAGTACCTCGAGTGACCTTCGGTACTCCGGATCGCGCACTGGAAGACAACATGAGCGCAAGCACCCAACAGTGTAGAGCGGGAACTTATACTCTTGAGCCACGACCTCTTGTTATTGGCTTTGAGATCAGTCAGGAATAGCATCGTGTTCGGATGAAGTCGCCCGCGCTGATATTCGACCCCATTGTTGTCCCGTAGCTTGGGCAGCGGGATAATCTCAATCCTGGGCAGATCTTCCTCACCGTCTGCGCCCCGATCGTCGTCAGAGATGGATTCATCGTGTTTCAAGGAAGCGGAGTCATTCCGTCGTCCCCTTTTCCGTGGGCGGGAGACAAGATTATCTGGATTGACGTGGCTTTGTTGCTTGGGTGTTGATTTGCGCGGACGACCTCGTTTCCTTGGCGTCGGTGCCCGAACTTGACCAGACTCCTCGCTTCCATCAATAAGATCGGATTCTCCGTCGGGATGGAAATTGTCACTGGATTCCGTAACGACGCGCCGAGTCTTGAACTGGGAATCCGAGGGTCGTGGTCTCTCCCAGGTGTCGAGCTCGTTTACGTCATCGTCGAAATAGCGACTTTTCTGTCCAGACGAGGTGATACGTTGAGAACGGCGCATCTTGTAAATTTGAGACGTGGATTCGGCTCCAAGGCGTGTTTCCCTAAAGTCTTAGATGGTAACTTAGATACAAAAAGGGAAGATATATATATATTCGCAACTATGATAAATAGATTATTAAAAAAAGTATAACGTTAAATATAATAATTTTAATAAATAATTTTAAAATCTTAGAAATTCTAAAAAAGAAATAAAATTTATGTGATCTCGACCTGATTCGAACAGATAACCTTCAGGATACACTCTTTAAAGGTGAGCTGGAATCTGACGCGCTACCGTTGCGCCACGAGACCTAACCGGCAAAGGCATTCGATGCCTTTCCGGATGAACTATGCTCCTATCTTCAATTATTGAGGTACATAACCTATGTCTAATACCCAGAAGTGCCCGCGGCCTTATGCTACACGAAATCACGTGTGTGTAGGTGGTGCCATATGAAAGCCTGATTTTCCAGTTGCAGGTCGGTAACTATCTCCGCTAACTCCTCAATAATATCCCTAATTGGATATCGCCACCATCCTCCATATCGCTATTGTCGACCACGGTGGTTACAGCTTCGATATCACTGTACTCTGAGAAGTCCAGCTCAGCCTCCGTCAAATGGTTGTCCACAACATCTGCTGTGGACTTGGAAGCACATGGTCCGCTGAAAGCTTTGTTTGCTTCTGATCCTTGTTCTTCGAGACCTGGATTCCTCTTTAAAACATACGTATCTCGCACCTTGAGGCACCCCCCTATGCAAAGGGGGATTGCGTCGATAGGTCTGCACCAATCTTTCTTCTTTCGAGAACCCGCCTTCTGGTGATGTGCAGTTCTTCCTTGTCATGGCGAGGCATAACCTGGAAGACTGCGAGTATCCCGAGTGCCAGAGACCCCCCAACAACCACTGCTAGTGCGTTCGCTTCTTCCTCGGACTTGAATCCTTTACGAGCAAGCCACGTTGTCATGCCCAGGCCGAGATCCGAGTACGTGAGTTTAACCCTACAGCGCTTCTCTTTTCCCAGCTGCGAAACCATGAATCTCGGGGCAGATCCACCCTCGACTGACGTTGGACGAATATTCGTCGCATTCGTGATGGCTGCAACATTGAACAAACTTGATAGTTTCGGCTATCCGGGCCGCGTAGCCTGTCTCGAATCGCCAGGTCTTATATGGTAGTTGAGGCAATCTTATGAATGGACGTTGACCAGTGGTATATGCGCCATATATATGAATGGGCGCTCAGTTCTAGGCGGCCTTCCTTCACTGGCTCTAAGTCATCATCTCGTATTGGCGCAAAGGCACCGCGGACGCTTTGCTCCGCAAGTGGTCCACAAAGTAGTATTACTTGGAACGAACTTGCAAGAATCAGGCCTGTGCCTATGAAAAACATTCAACGCTTGAGATGCTTGAGCTGCAGTACCACCATATGTGCTGGCAAAGTCTGACTGCCACCAGCACTCAGCAGCGAGAGCATCAAACGTCCAGGCTAATGTAGAGTCGGCATTGAACCCCATCTCCGTGACGTGCCAGAGTTACTTTAGTTCACCAGCTCTATACTGGGTACCATCTGACGCGAGAGTCTTATTTAGGTTCTTAATTCCGTCAAGAACAAAGCTGATTCGTGCGTCGAAGCCACCAGACGGTGGTGGTGAAGAGTTTATCCCGCGTAACGCACTTATACGCTCCACGAACTGCTATATGAATCCTTCGATCTAGGTCTTTGCCTTGGAATCATAGAATATGCTTGCAACATCTGCGCCGAGGAAATCGATAGAATTACATCGGATTATTCTTTTCTAAGCCGCTAATAGTCATTATTAATCGCTTATCGAAATAACTATAAAGCCCGATAAAATATAATTTTGAATATATTTAATTAAAGGTTTAAATAAATTTTCTTTAAATAATTCAATACGTAAATATAATTTAAACGTTTAAAAGAATAATTATATCTTTAATTATATATTGACTAACTAAAATTTAAAAATTTAATATTTAAATTAGAGATGAAAATTAATTCGAAATTAATTAAAATTTATAAGTAAGCTTAATCTTATTCAATGGTTTTTTTAATACGTATTACTTTTACGTTAAAGAGGAATTAAAATTACGGTAAATTTTAAAATAATATTTTAAAAGATAAGTACTAAAGCTATATTTATTAATATTTCAACTACGAATTAATAATACCCGGCTTAAATACCGCCGAAAGCTGCGTAAATAACCGTTCTTAAGACGAAAACTAGTTAAAATAAAATTTAAATATTAAGTTAATTAAAGCTTAAATAATAAAATATAAAAAGATTTCTTTTATAAAACAATAATATATAATAAATTAAAAGCCTTAACGAATTAAACTAAATAACGGCGTACTTAATTAAAAATCATATATATAAATTTATTTAATAAATAAATTTCCGGGGGGTTAATAATTACTTATAAAAATAGTGCTTTATAAATAACTTGATTAATTAAATAACTCGATTAACTAAATAACTCAATTAATTTTTATATTAATTAATATAAAATAATTTATTTCTTAATTAAAACGCTTTAAATTAATTAAATTTAATTAAATATTATTTATTAAATATAATTATACGGTTTTTATGCATTATACTATTATAATAGGTTTATATATAAAATTTATAACGCCGTACGCGCTTTATAAACTTTCTTTGATTTTCTTATTTTTGATTATTTTCTTTTTTGTTAAAATGTTATTTTTTTAAAATTTAATTTTATTCTTGTTTTTAAAAGTAAATATTCTTTTAAAAATAAAACGTTTATTTTAAGTATTCCGGCGTTTATTAAATATATAGCTCGATTTTCGAAACTTAAAACGACTTTTTAAATTAAGAAAGTAAGTTAATATATATTTATATATAAATCTTTATAATTTTATTAAATTTCTTTATAAATTTAATAATAAACGCATGGATTTTGTTGTTAAATTAGATAAATTACGTAAAGATTTCGTTAATATTTTTTAAAAATTAAAGAAATTTAAAACTCGGTTTATGATTGAAAAAAGAAAATATTTAGAAAAGTAATATAATATTTAATTAAGAAATAACGTTTTCGGGATTTAATAAAATAAATTTAACGTTTTAGAACCCTTTTTAGATAATTTTCTTTATTATAATAATTATATTAATTTTATAAAACGTGCAAAATTTGTTTTTTCCTAATATAAATAATATATACTTATATAAATTTTTAACTAATAAACCGTACGCGGCTTTTAATGAGTTAAAATAATTTATATTAAAAATTTGTGATTTATACGATAAATAAATAAATATAGAAACCGTAATAATATTATTAAATTTATAATATTTTTTTGAATTTCATTAATTAATAACTTTTAGAATTATTAAAAATAAAAATACGTATAATATTTTTTCCCGCCGTTTTATATATTTATAATAATTAAATTTATTATAAGTTTTAATTCGTTAAAATTATAAATTCTTTTTTCGTAATATTATATTTTATAACTACGTTATAAATATATTTAAATTCTTTACGAAATACGATTAAATTTTTATATAAAACTTTTTTTTTTTTTTTTTCGCTATAAACGCGTTAAAAAATTAATATTTATATAACGATAAACGTAATTTAGTTCGTTCCGACGCATTCCGTATCGCGTTAATAAAACAATATATTAATTATGTTTTTAAGGGTTTTTTTCCGGGGAAGATATTAGGCTATATATTTATATAATTACTATATTATACAGCTTTATATATTATAGCGGTATATCCGCGTTATAGCGGTATAGTATAGCTATAAGCTATTAACTATATTTTATAGCTTTTAATAAACTTTTAAAATATATATTTCTTTATATTTTATTTTTTATTTTATTATTTAATAGTATTTCTTTTAACGTACTTTACAAGCGAGCGGGCTATACAAGCGAGCGGGCCACTTTCCACGCGCAACTATATATTTAGTTTTATAATATTATTCTTTAACCAATTATTATAGAAATTAATTATAACGAACGTCAATTGAATTTAGTTATCTAAGTTATAATACAAAACTCTAAATTTAGTTTTCAGGCTATTACGAAGATCTATAACGTTCCTCGTAATATATTAACCTACCGGAAGAAAAAGAGGTCTTTTCGATTAAATATCGTAGTTAATTCGAAAAAGTTTACAAAATTAAAAGAATCTATTATTCTCGAAAAGGTATTTAACTTAGTTTCCTAAAGATTTCCGCCTCGGAAAGATGTTATACGAGATATGGTTAATCTTTCGTAACGCGACCGTAACGCGTCTTCCGTCGGTATTCACTAGGTTTCGAATTTTATTAAACGATAACTAGAACTCTGGACGCGTTTAACGTATAAATACGATTATCGGAGGGCTTTATACGAAAATCCCAAATTTATTAAGGATTAGTTCGCGTTAATTCGTAACTTTAAAAATAGATATAATATCGTAGATATAAATATTTATAATTTTAACGAGGTTAGCTTTTTAATAAGTTAAATTAATATAATTATAATTATTATAATTATAAATCGAAAAAAGTTATTTAAATTAATATAACTTAATAATCGGGAATATGTTTTGGTAATTTAAAGTATTAATTTTTAAAGTTAAACCGTTTTACCGTTTATTATCGTAAAAGGTATTTGGTATTTGGTATTTTTCTTTTTGATACGAAAACGATAATATTTTAAAGGATTAAATAATTATTATTAGTTTTAATAAATAAACTAATAATAAATTAAATATTAAATAAATTTAATATTTTAATAAATATATTAAAAGTCGTAATATTAGGCTTTATCGTTTATTAATATTCGACGGGTACGAAAACTACTATTTTATAAAATTTAAACTTTATTATAAAGAGAATAACATTATAACACTTTATATATTTCCGTATTCATTTTATCTACTTTAACCACTTAACGTTAGGTATTTTAGTCCCTTAAAACGGGCGTACGGCAAGTAAATCAAAAATATAATACGGGCCCGCGTTAACCATATTACGAAGGACGACTTCTTCCCGGCCTTTTACGTAACCTTTATAAAATTAATAAAGCTAGAAAATATCTATAGGGGTTTCCGAAGGGTAAAGTTTATCCTTTATAATCTAAAAAATGTTATATTTAAAATTAGATATAAAGTTACGTATTCCGATACCTCCGGGGAATTTATTTAGGCTACCTTTATTTTAGGAATTAAAAACGCTTTTTAACCCGACCGAAACCGTTTCGTAATCGGAATTTATTCGAAACCGAATCCTTATTTATCAAAATAACTCGTTAACGTTTATTTTAAATACG